GATTCAAACCCACCAGCTCTGGTGTATGTGGCTGGCGCCCTAGCCACTGAGCTACAGGCACCAAGCCAGAATTTTGTTTTATATTGTAATAAACGGAAGCAGGTCTGTGTGTAGCTATATTGTGGGAGATGGGTCTTAGGACGAGGGTGAAGACGGGAGCTAGGGAGGACACTGAAATACATTTAATGGATAGTACAGCTAGGTGGGAGCTGTGTCTGTAGCTGCAAAGATCTAGGGAGATGGACCTTCAAGGAACCCGAGGGGGATGGCCCCTGCCTTATCCTATGACCCCCCACCGCAGGCCCAGCATGTCCTCTGCCTGGAAGGCCCCTGCCATCTACTGGCTCTGTGCCTGTGCTCCGTGCCTTTGGGGTCACGGATGAGGGCATCTCTGTATGCTGCCACATCCATGGCTTTGCGCCTTACTTCTACACTCCGGCACCCCTTGGTGAGTGGCCCCTGCCCAGAGACCCTGTCCTTGCTCACCAGAGGCCCCTGCACCCCTGACAGACCATCTCACACCAGGTTTTGGGCCTGAGCACCTGAGTGACCTGCAGCGAGAGCTGAACGGGGCCATCAGCCGGGACCAGCGTGGGGGAAAGGAGCTTGCTGGGCCAGCAGTGGTGGCTGTGGAGCTGTGCTCTCGGGAAAGTGAGTGACAGCTGGGGACCAGTGGGTGGGCCCCGCTGAACTGGTCTTAGCCTCTTCTATCCACAGGCATGTTTGGGTACCATGGACACGGCCCCTCCCCATTTCTGCGCATCACCCTGGCACTGCCCCGCCTTGTGGCCCCTGCCCGCCGCCTCCTGGAACAGGGCATTCGTGTGCCAGGCTTGGGCACCCCCAGCTTCGCACCCTACGAGACCAACGTTGACTTTGAGATCCGGTACAGTCCCTTCCTTGCTTCCCTGACCTCTGCCCCTACCCTCGGGCAGCTTCTGCCCACTGACCCTCAGGCCCCTCCAGGTTCATGGTGGACACAGACATTGTTGGCTGCAACTGGCTAGAACTCCCGGCTGCAAAATACACCCTGAGGCAAAAGGAGAAGGTGCGCAGCTTCCCAGGTCAGGGCAGGGAACCAGGGCCCTGCTGCCACTGACACACTTGTCCCCACAGGCTACAACTCTGTGCCAGCTAGAGGCAGATGTGCTATGGTCAGATGTGGTCAGTCACCCCCCAGAAGGGCCGTGGCAGCGCATCGCACCCCTGCGTGTACTCAGCTTCGATATTGAGTGTGCTGGCCGCAAAGGTCTGTCTGTGGGGCCTGGAGCTCCTCTCCTCCCAGGGTCACTGATGTGCCTGGAGGAGTGTGGGGGGAGTAGGCCTGGCGCAGGGAATAGCAAGTGTGTAAAGGCCCTGGGGCAGGAGTGGGGTGAGAGGGCCTGGAGGTGAGGGCAGAGCAGGCAGCAGGCAGTAGGGACAGACAGTGTGAATAGGCCAGAAAAGGTAGGGAGAGGCAGGAGTCAGGTCCCATGCATCCCCTCTTACCTCCCTACCTCCCTCTGTAGGCATCTTTCCTGAGCCTGAGCGGGACCCTGTGATCCAGATCTGTTCTCTGGGCCTGCGCTGGGGCGAGCAGGAGCCCTTTCTGCGCTTGGCACTCACCCTGCGGCCCTGTGCCCCCATCCTAGGTGCCAAGGTGCAGAGCTATGAGAAGGAAGAGGACCTGCTCCAGGTGGTTCTCACTCCATAGCTCCCCCAACTTTCCTCAGTGCCCCATCCCAACCTCTATATCCTGACCTATCCCAGGTGTGCAACCTGGAAACTGAGGCGCCTATGTCCCTGGGTTTGGTTGGATCCCATGCACTGAGGGTTGAATGTCTCCCTTCTGGGTCCTGCAGTATTTTCAGATGTACAGGAGGTGGGCAGACATGGAGGGGAAGGAGTTCCAGATCATTCCAGCAGGGGAATTTGAGGCAGCGTTTGAGGGGAATTTGAGGGATGAGCAGCGTTACCCTGTGTTTCCCCCAGGCCTGGTCCAACTTCATCCGCAACATGGACCCAGACGTGATCACTGGCTACAACATCCAGAACTTTGACCTTCCATACCTCATCTCTCGGGCCCAGACCCTCAAGGTGCGGACAAGGCGGGTGGAGAGGCTACCTCAGAGATGGCCAGCTGGGGGCTTTGGGGCTCTGGGTATCCGTCCTGCTTCCTTTCCTTGTGATTCTGTCCCCTCTGGTTATCCATGTCAGTCTGGGTACCTGCAGCCCCTCACTTCCAGCAGCTCCAGAGATATTCTGGACCCGGCCCCGTCCCACTCAAGAGTCCATAGAGTTACCAAGGTTCTTGTCAGAGGCAAAGGGGGAGTCACAGTTAGGTGAGAGAAGTCCTCCGTATTCAGAGCTGCAGGCTAAAGTTAGCAAGGCTTCAGCAAGCCGTCAAATGGGCAGTTGAATCCAGGTCTTGCTTTAGAACGTGGCTAAATAAGCCCAGGTGCCATGGCTCAGCCTGTAATCCCAACATTTGGGGAGGCTGGGGTAGGAGGATCACCTTAGGTCAGGGTACTAGACCAACCCAGCCAATATAGTGAGACCCCATCTCTACAAAATGTGTCAAAAATATTATCTGAGTATGGTGGTGCATACTTGCAGTCCCAGCTACTCAGAAGATGGGAGTTCAAGACTACAGCACCACTGCCCAAATTTGCTCAACCTGCTGTTATAGTCACAGACCACATGGCTTTAAACAACAGAAATTAATTGTGTCATGATTCTTGAGTATAGAAAGTCCAAGATGAAGGCGTTGGCAGGGCTGAGACCTCACTGACGCTCAGTTTGTGGAGAAGGCTCTGTACTAGGCCTCTGTCCATGACTGGCAAGTGGTTGTCTCCTGGGTCTCTTCATGTTGTCTTCCCCTTGTGTGCATCTGTGCATACCGATTGTTCCTTTTTATAAGAACACTGTTATGTTAGGTTGGTGCCCACATCAATGATCTCATCTTAACTCAATGCCCTGCAAAGGCTTATCTCCAAATGGGGTCACATTCTGAGGAACTGGGGCTTCAGACTTAACATCCCTGTGGGGGACACAATTCAGCCTTTGAGGGGGAGCATATGTATTACTGTGTGTATATTGCGTATGTTTGTCCATGTGGCAGTGAAAAAACAAAACAAATTTATAATTCCCAGCAGCTCCAGGGAAAAATCTCCCCCAGTCCTCAGCCTGGCACTGACATCTGGGCCACTGGGCCCCTCCCCTACTCTCTTGCGACCCCACGGGGCTGGAGTCAGGAGCCAGTCAGTCTCACACCACAGCCTCTCCCTGCCCACATGGCTGTCCTACCCAACAGGTGCAGACATTTCCTTTCCTGGGCCGTGTGGCTGGCCTCCGCTCCAACATCCGAGACTCATCTTTTCAGTCCAAGCAGATGGGCCGGCGGGAAAGCAAGGTGGTCAGCATGGTGGGCCGCGTGCAAATGGACATGCTACAGGTGCAGCTGGGGAGCCCAAGTGGGTACCCAACCTTGGGAGGGAGGCTGTAGTCCAGGCCTGTGCACAGCCTTCACGTCTCTACAGGTGCTGCTGCGGGAGTACAAACTCCGCTCGTACACGCTCAACGCTGTCAGCTTCCACTTCCTGGGTGAGCAGAAAGAGGACGTGCAGCACAGCATCATCACCGACCTGCAGGTGCCCATCCTGACCCTGCCACCACCACCTATTGTCTTCATGACCTCTCACCTTGACCTCCTGTCCTGACCTAACCTTTATCTTCCCTGACATCTCACTTCAACTTAGTGCCTCGACCTCTGACCTCTTTAATCTACTTCTGTGACCTAGGACCTCACCTCCCACCCACTTTTTTCTGACCTCTGACTAGATTTCTGTCCATTCTCATGACTTTTTTTTTTTTTTTTTTTGAGACAGAGTCTCACTTGGTCACCCTTGGTAGAGTGCTGTGCATCATAGCTCACAGCAACCTCAAACTCTTGTGTTCAAGTGATCCCCTTGCCTCAGCCTCCCAAGTAGCTGGGACTACAGGTTCCCGCCACAGTGCCCTGCTATTTTTTCTGAGACGAGGTCTCACTGTGGCTTAGGCTAGTCTCAAACCTGTGAGCTCAGGCAGTCCATCCACCTCAGCCTCCCAAATGCAGGGATTACAGGTGTGAGCCACCACACCTGGCCATTCCCATGACTTCTGTCACTGTGACCTTTGCCCGCCTGCCCTGACCCCTAGTCCATACTGGCTCTTCAGACTGCTCCTCCTCCCTCTTATCCTGTCGACTCCCCAGCGCCCCCCCCACTGTCATCCTCACCCAGACCTTTACCACTCCCTGACCATTCCAAAGCCAGCTTTGCCTCATCCAGCCTCCTGAGTCACCCCCCAGGCCACCTCATCGTGACCCTAGAACCCCAGCCCCTAACGCCATGGGTGCCTGTCCGCAGAACGGGAATGACCAGACTCGCCGCCGGCTGGCCGTGTACTGCCTCAAGGATGCCTACCTGCCACTGCGGCTGCTTGAGCGGCTCATGGTGCTGGTGAACGCTGTGGAGATGGCGCGGGTCACAGGTGTGCCTCTCAGCTACCTGCTCAGCCGAGGCCAGCAGGTCAAGGTCGTGTCCCAGCTGCTGAGGCAGGTCAGTAGGTTGAGCACTGTCCACACCTCCTTACCAAGGAGCTCTGCCAGGTTTGTGCCCACACCTCCATTTCCCACTTTCTCCACTCCCAGGCCATGCGAGAGGGGCTGGTGATGCCTGTGGTGAAGTCAGAGGGTGGCGAGGACTACACAGGAGCCACTGTTATTGAGCCCCTAAAAGGGTAAGGCCCCAAGGCAGGGTAGGGGCGGGGTGGTGGGGGCTCCCAGCCCTGATTCCTCCAGGCTTCTCCCCTCCCAGGTACTATGATGTCCCGATTGCCACCCTGGACTTCTCCTCACTATACCCGTCCATCATGATGGCCCACAACCTTTGCTACACTACGCTTCTGCGGCCTGGTGCTGCCCAGAAATTGGGGTATGGTGCCCATATTACATGTCCCCTGAGGCTAACCTGAGCCCTACCTTCAGGGGTTCCCAGGCTGGGGGGGGACACAGGCTATAGGGCCAGAAATAGCAGGGATTGGGGGAGGAGGGCACATGAGGAGCATGAGTGTGCTAATGGCTAAGACCAGGATGACAGGGCAGAGGTGGGCCTGGGGGAGGAGAGGTGGCTGGGCAGTCACCGTCACCATCTTCTACCCCAGCCTGACTGAGGATCAATTCATCAAGACGCCCACTGGGGATGAGTTTGTGAAGACATCGGTGAGGAAGGGGCTACTGCCCCAGATCCTAGAGAACCTGCTCAGTGCCCGGAAGAGGTGAGCTTCCAATATACCTCCCTGCTCAGAGCTTGGACTTGCTAAACCTTCTCGACATTCCCTGGCCTCCCCTGTCCATCACCCCCCAGCTGCCAGCTGCATTTGCCTGGAACAAAGTGGGAACTAGAATAGATGACCCCTCTAGCCAGCTCCCATCCGGCCCTTTGGCTGGAAGCCTCTGTGCATTGTACAGCTCTCCTGTGTGTACATGGTATCCCTTTCTGGGAAGACACTCTGACTAATGCCCTGAGACCTGGGGTGATACCTGAGTGGCCTTTACCGTGTTCCCTCCCAGGGCCAAGGCAGAGCTGGCCAAGGAGACAGATCCCTTGCGGCGGCAGGTTCTGGATGGGCGGCAGCTGGCGCTTAAAGTGAGCGCCAACTCTGTATATGGCTTCACCGGCGCCCAGGTGGGCAAGTTACCATGCCTGGAGATCTCTCAGGTGAGTGCTCAGGCCTCTGGCAGGCAAGTAGGGGGCAAGTGAGCCCTATGCTCGGGGCAAGGGCTCTGTGTGTCCAGACTGTTTCCAGAAGTCAGAGCCTAGGCACCCAACTCACTGGCCTTTTGGAGATTTTGGAGAGCAGATGCCAGCATGGCTTGAGCTATTGGTTCGTTTGTTTGATCAGCAAACACTAAGCACAATACCCGGCTATTTTTTTGTTGCAATTTGGTCAGGGCCGGGTTTGAACCTGCCACCCTCAGTATATGGGGCTGGCGTCTTACCGACAGAGCCACAGGCGCCCCCCCATTTTAGTTTTCACATGGTTCTGGATGGAAGGTTTGGAAGAATTGCCGGTGGGTGTGCGTTCTAGTAGAAGAGGACTATGCACAACAACCCCACCTGCAAGTCTAGAGCTTCCAAGACTGCTCTCAGATTCAGGAGGACTAGAAGTACTCACAGTAATTATGTAATATAGCAAAAGGATACAGATTAAAATCAGCAAAGGGAAAGGTGTCCAGGGCACAGTTTAGGAAAGACCAGGCACGTATCTTCTGGTTGTCTTCCAGTAGAGTCACACAGACAGCACTTATTTCTCCCAGCATTAATGCATGACATCACGCAATATTGCCATCTAGGAAATCTCACCCTAGCTTTTTTTTTTTTCTTTTCTTCATCTTAGCTTTGGTCTTTAGTGTCACAGTTTTTATTGGGTGTCATATGGGTGTGGAGCACCCATGTTACTGACCTTAGTTACTCAGTTTCCAGCCCCCTCCTCCCATAGATCCATCTGATAACATGGCCCAAGATCCCCACCATAAACCATGTTGTTAGCATAACCTACCTGGTGTGGCACAAGGTCTCAGGTAAACAGAGACCCTCTTTATCAGGTAGGACATTCCAGAGGCTCTGGTCCCTTTCTAAGAGCCAGACCTTTCTTTGGCCAAGGTGAATCCTTTTCTGCATCTCACCTTTTTGTCCTTTGTTTTATCCTCTATCTGTCCTTTCATAGTCCTTGGCTGCCTCCTCAGCCTCCTTGGTGGAAAGGGACAAATGTTTGGACATCAGGCTCCAGCTCCTAAGCAAAAGCCAGGCCAGGAGGATAAGAAGGGAAAGTAGAGGCACATAGGAACATAGAATAGGTAGAACAAGCAAAAGGCAGATAGTAGATTTAAGCCTAAATACATTAGTAATTGCAATAATGTAAATAGACTAAATGCTCAAGTTAAAAAACTTAAGATTTTCTGACTGGATCCACACAAACAAAAACAGAAGAAATATACCCATCTCTTTTTGGTGGTTCTGCCCCTGAGCCTCAGTTTCTTTTCTTCTTTTTTTTTATTTTTGAGACAGAGTCTCACTATGTCACCCTTGGTAAAGTACCATGGCATCACAGCTCACAGCAACCTCCAATTCTTGGGCTTTAGCAATTCTCCTGACTCAGCCTCCCAAGTAGCTGGGACTACAGGTACCTGCCACAACGCCTGGCTATTTTTTGGTAGCAGCCGTCATTGTTGTTTGGCAGGCCCGGGCTGGATTCGAACCCACCAGCTCAGGTGTATTTGGACGGCGCCTTAACCACTTGAGCCACAGGCGCTGAGCCACCCAGCTATTTTTTTGTTGTAGTTGTCATTGTGGTGTAGCAGGCCTGGGCCAGGTTTAAACCCGCCAGCCCTGGTATATGTGGCTGGTGCCCTAGCCACTGAGCTATAGGCGCCGAGCCCCAGCTATTTTTAGAGACGAGGTCTCGCTCCAGCTCAGGCTGGTCTTGAACCCATGAGCTCAGGCAGTCATTCGCCTTGGCCTCCCAGGATGCTAGGATTACAGGCATAAGCCACTGCGCCCAGCCCTAGCCTCAGTTTCCTTAATTATAAAATAAGACCGTTAGAAAGGAATGGCTTCTTAGTGGGTGTGGTGCTCCCCTACACCGAATGTTTTGTCAGTGTGTAGGTAGGATCATTTCTTATATCACAAGGATGGGGGTGGCACCTCTGTGTTTCAAGGAATGTCAGTGGTCCTGTACTTCACAGAGCTAGCCAGAGTATCACAGTTTCAGAGAAACACTGAACCAGTGGCTTTTCAGGCTATACTTACTTGATGTTGTCAATTCCTCATCTGTGCCCAGAACTCTAGACCAGGGCACCCTCTTTTTTCCAATGAACCATTGAAGAGCAGATTTGGAAACTGAGGCCTAGGTCATCCCAGCCCATGGTGCCAAGCAGTGGCAGAGGCAGGACCCCTCTAGCCCACGTCCACTGCAAATGACCCAGGGCCTTTACTTTGCATAATTCTCTACCCCACAGAGTGTCACTGGGTTCGGGCGTCAGATGATTGAGAAAACGAAGCAATTGGTGGAGTCTAAGTATACAGTGGAGAATGGCTACAGCACCAGTGCCAAGGTCAGGGGCTGCTCCAACTGCTGCCCTTAGATGGACCTGGGGCATTTGTGGGGACTACAGGGTACCTAGGCCCATCTGGCCCCAGGCCTCCTGGTCACACCTTGTCCTGATCTGCTGAATCCTTGATCCCCTCAGCATCAGCCCCCCCGTCCATGCAGTAGCAGGAAGGACCTTCTTTCACACACAACCCCTCCCCAGGTGGTATATGGCGACACTGACTCTGTCATGTGCCGATTCGGTGTGTCCTCTGTGGCTGAAGCAATGGCTCTGGGGCGAGAGGCAGCAGACTGGGTGTCAGGTCACTTCCCATCACCCATCCGGCTGGAGTTTGAGAAGGTAGTCATATCCCCTACCTTCCACCTTCCAGGGCTCAGTGTGGGTCTTCCCTGTTTGGGGCTCTCTCATTCCCAGAGAGCCTGCAGAGCTATTTATATACAAGTTTGAGGATCCTGTGGTATGTTAAGGTCTCTCCATTTTGGGGCACACTGAATATCCTGTTCTTTGGGTTCATAAGCTCCTATGTCAAGGTATTTTGCTGCTTAGATTCTGCTGAGTTTGGGCCCTTGGTTTTGGAAGCCTTCATAGCTTTGGGCTTTGTTACATAGGACAGCATCTGCTTTTTGACAGTTTGTCACAATGTTCGTGGCTTTGTGGTTTCCCAGTACCTGACAGCAGTTGGGGATGCTGATGAGGGTGTATCTTGGATTTATGCACCATTATCCAGTCCTCTTGGCTCCCAGGGTGTGTCAGGCTTGGCCCCAGGGAGCCTCATGCCATACCTTTTTTTTTGAGACAGAGTCTTGCTCTGTTGCCCCAGGCTAGAGTGCTATGGTGTCATAGCTCATAGTAACCTCAAACTCCTGGACTCAAGCAATCCTCCTGCCTCAGCCCTGGAGAAGCTGGGACTACAGGCGCCAACCACAATGCCTGGCTAGTTATTCTATTTTTAGTAGAGACAGGGTCTTCACTCTTGGGAAGATCTCAAACTCCTGAGCTCAAGGTATCCTCCTGACTCAGGCTCCTGGGTAGCTGGGAGTGAGTTACTGTACCTGGTCCTCAAGCTGTATTTTTTCTCCACTGTTGAAAAATGTATCTCTGGGTGCCCCAAATCTCAGTCTTCCAGGTTGGCTAAGTATCTGCCACAGGGCTTCCCCCGTGCCTTAGTCTTGTCTCTAAGAAGAGGGGGAAGCTCCATTATAACTACCCCTGTCATGTTTTAGGGGATATCTCTAGGTTTATCCCAGTCTCTGTTTCAGGTCAGGACTTCCTGAAATGTGAGGGTGCTCAGGAGCCACCTAACAGCAACACACCAGGTCTTAAGGTCCATCTCACCATGTTCAGGGCTTTTCTCCTCGAGTGTTTGAATCTTACATCTCTGGGCCTTTCCCTGTCTGCCTTCACTTTCTGAGGGGCGGGGGTCTCAGGATTGGGGACTAGACAGTACAGTCCTGGGTCTCAGTCATGGGTCACTCCCAGGTCTACTTCCCCTACCTGCTCATCAGCAAGAAGCGCTATGCAGGCCTTCTATTTTCTTCCCGGGCGGAGGCCCACGATCGAATGGACTGCAAGGGCCTGGAGGCTGTGCGCAGGGACAACTGCCCCCTTGTGGCCAATCTCGTCACTGCCTCACTGCGCCGCTTGCTCATTGACCGGTGAGTGAGACCCTTACCCCAGCCCTGGAGCCCAGCCCTGCCCCTCCTTAGTCAGTTCTAGGGGTCTGGCCCCAGCCCTTCCTCCTCTAGGGACACAGGTGTCAGACCAGCACTTCCTCAGTGGTGAGGCAGCAGGATGAGCTGCCTTGGACAGATGTGGGTTCAGCCCTTGCCTCTGGCACACTGCAGCCTCTGCCACCAGGGCCCTTAGTGGCCATTGTTGACACCAGCCTATCTGGCCTGCCTTCCCCACAGAGACCCAGAGGGTGCTGTGGCCCATGCGCAGGAAGTCATCTCAGACCTGCTGTGCAACCGAATCGACATCTCCCAGCTGGTCATCACCAAGGAGCTGACCCGCGCGGCAGCTGACTATGCCGGCAAGCAGGCCCACGTGGAGCTGGCCGAGAGGTCTGCCGGTGGGGCAGGGTGGTGCCATCCAGAAATAGCCCCCTTCTTCCTGCCAGCTGGGCCCACCACTTCCTATGCTCTCCACACCCACCCTGCACCTGCCCTCAGCCATCTACCGCCTGGTCTCCACACAGGATGAGGAAGCGGGACCCTGGGAGTGCGCCCAACCTGGGTGACCGCGTCCCCTACGTGATAATCGGTGCCGCTAAAGGCGTGGCTGCCTACATGAAGTCTGAGGTCAGGTCCACCTGGGCTACCCACCCTCTCCGCCCCCTGGACTCTCACTTCTGCTTTCCAAGATGGCTAGGCTGGTGGGGAGGGGCATGTGTCTCCCTGGGCGCCTGGCCCTCCCCTGGGAGTCAGTCTCCCAAGCCCCTCTGGAGTTACTCTGACACCTCCCTTCTCCCTGCTTAAGAAAGGAGGACCTAGTCCCTATGCTGCCCACGGCTATCCAGTCTCAACTTCCTAGGGTTCACCATCATCCCATCCTACCCAGATTTCTTCTGTGATTCATGTCCCAGCCCCTGTGACCTCTGACTGGAGTCCTTCCTCATCCTTGCTTCCCCCTGTGAACTCTGACCCTTTTTCCCTGGGGAGCTGAGGATCCCCAGTATGGGTCATAGAACTTATGGCCCACTCTTGACTCCACCCAGCTGCAAGCACATGTCACAACCTTCGGGGCAGCACTCATACCCCTAGCACTATCCCCACTGTTGTCCCCCCGCCTCCAGGGGTTCCTGGGGCCCTGGTCTTGGCTGTCTGGTGGGTGACTTGTGGTCATGTGGCCACAGGACCCCCTGTTCGTGCTAGAGCACAGCCTGCCCATCGACACACAGTACTACCTGGAGCAGCAGCTCGCCAAGCCACTACTGCGCATCTTCGAGCCTATCCTGGGCGAGGGCCGCGCTGAGGCTGTGCTGCTGCGTAAGGGCCGGGCCAGGTGGGGGGACCCCAGGGGTTGCAGGGCACCAGCCCACACCTGCCCTCCCCTCCTGCAGGAGGTGACCACACTCGTTGTAAGACAGTGCTAACAGGCAAGGTGGGTGGCCTCCTGGCCTTCGCCAAGCGCCGTGACTGCTGCATCGGCTGCCGCACCGTGCTCAGCCATCAGGGTGAGGGCTGCCTGCCCCCGGGCCCCCAACCCACCACAGCCTGGAAACCTGGCACTGCACCAAGAGGCCTGGGCCCCTGGGCAGGGGCCTCCCCTCTGCCGCCACCCCCCATGAAGGGTCCTCAGCCCCTGCCCTGGGAGTTCCCCAGGGGAGTTTTCCCCATACACCAACTCCCTTGTTCTCTGGCCTTCAGGGACTTTTGGAAGCTGGGATGGGCTTTGGGCAGGGAAAGGGCAGGGATAGGTGTCCAGGCCCTAGCAGGGCCCCAGCACCTGGTGCTAACCCAGCCCCCTTCCTCCAGGAGCCGTGTGCAAGTTCTGTAGGCCGCGGGAGTCTGAGCTATATCAGAAGGAGGTGAGGGGCTGGGGGGCTGGGCCGGGGTCAGGGAGACAAGGGGACCGTGGTGGATGCTTAGCCCCTGCCGTCCCCAGGTGTCCCACTTGAACGCCCTGGAGGAGCGCTTCTCACGCCTCTGGACTCAGTGTCAGCGCTGCCAGGGCAGCCTGCATGAGGATGTCATCTGTACCAGGTATGTGCCCAGCAGTCCCACTGCCTGCCCTGTCCCGCCCAGTGCCAAGGCCTGTGGGGTGTGGACCAGACCTCCCACTCCAAGGTCTCTTCCTGAGTACCTCCCTCTCCCCACCTACCCCCCTCTACCCACCCACCCCCAGCTATGAGGCCTCCTGAACCTGTGTCCTCCCCTGCAAAGTGGACCCAGCTTAGCCCTCAGGAAGGTGTAGGTACTTAGGGCTGCAGGGCTGGGCACCAGTGTCTGCAGGGAATGGCTGCCCTCTAGATACAC